CTGTGCTTTCATTTGGAATAAAGAGCCCCTGTTGGAGAAAGGAAACTGCCAATGCAGGAAGAGCCATACCTGCTCTGTAATTTACAGGCTTGGGGAGTTTGGGTGAGGTACTTAGAAGGCTGGTGACTGGCCCAGGGTCATGTAGCCAGGAGGTGTCAGAGGCAAGATTTGTACTCTGAGCCCAGCTCTCTACCTGCCTCTTAACACGATGAAGGAAGATTGTGAGCATTCCTAGTCAAAGATTTGGAAGAAATCAACCCTTCACTTTATGAGAATCCGTCTCCCACCATCCAGCATTGTTCACTCTTTGCTTGAAGGCCTTCTCCACAGGGAGCCTGGCCAGGAGGTTTCAGTGAGAGGGAATGTACCACTTCTAGAGGCAGTTCATTCCATTTTGAGAGAGGTTTATTAGGACTTTTTTTTATACTTACCTCAAGCCTAAATTTGCTTCTTATCAATAACTGGCCTTTATATAGTGCTTTACAATCTGCAAAGCACTTTAGACACATTATTTTATTTGACAACAACCCTGTGAGGTTAGGTACTATAGGCAGAATTATCTTCATCTTATAACTAAGGAAACTGCTATTATATACCAGAGATGGTATTCAAACCCAGGTCTCCCTGTCTCCAAATCCAGCGTGTTCTCTACTGCCTGTTACTGACTCACGACTTTCCCCCATTGCTTTTAGCTCTGCCCTCAAGGATTGATTAGAACAGGTCTAACTCTTCTTCCACAATACTTGAATACTTTAAGATGGTAGCTATATATCTAAAGGCAGCTAGATGGCACAGTGAATAAAGTACCAGCCCTGGAGTCAGAAAGACCTGAGTTCAAATTTTGACTCAAACACTTACTAGCTGTGTGACCCTGGGTAAGTCACTTAACCCGAATTGCCTCAAAAAGGGGAGCAGTTACTATAACAACTATATATATATATATATATATATATATATATATATATATATAGTTACTATAACAACTATATGTATATATGTATGTATGTATGTATATGTATATGTATATGTATATGTGTATGTATGTATATAGTAGTTACGTAGTATATAGTAACTATATAGTATGTAGTAACTATATATAGTTATATAGTATATAGTAACTATATATCTATATATGGGTGAGAGAGAGAGAGAGAAAGAGAGAGAGAGAGAGAGAGAGAGAGAGAGAGAGAGAGAGAGAGAGAGAGAGAGAGAGAGAGAATATATTTGCTGGTCTTTTAAATGATGTTTAGATGGGGTGATGATGGATTCTAGTGGGTGAAGCTGTAAAGACTCTAGGAGCTGTGGTTTCATAAGATTTTAAGAGAAGTGGAGGAAAGAGAGAGAAAAAAACTGGGAGAACCAAGGATGTATTCATTAAAATGGTAAACTCAGCTAAAAAGCAGAGTACTGTGCCAACCACAGAGAAAAATATAGTCTGGGAATTTCTTTGAACAGAATCAGAATTCAGTTGTCTCTAATGAGATTATTTTCTACCTGAAGTGGAGGTAAACCTATAGCCCACATTGTTTGGTTTTTGCTTTTGTTTTATTGTTTTAATATTCTCTTGCCAGATACTTAGAGAAGCTGAGCGAGAGCTCAGCTTGAGTCAGCAAGGTCTGAGTGAAAGACAAGAAAAGACAATGGTCCAAGGACAGAGCCTTCTGGAGGAATGTAGTCACCGGGGTAGAGCAGGGAGGGTTTAGAAGAAGCAGGTTAATGCTTTAAGCCTTTGCCGAGCTGATTGAGTAACATGAGACTGTGTGCCTGTTACCTGATTTGTTTATATTTTGTGTTCTAGGGTTCCCTTGCACTTTAGTAACAATGGCTTGTGCAGCGGAGTGACTGTAATAGCTCACATTTCTAGAGCACTGCACGTTTTATGAATATGTTCTTCACACCCATCCTGTGAGGGATACACACACACACACACACACACACACACACACCCTAGTCAGTGCTGTTGCCGAAATTCAGATTGATTCAGCAAATAGTTGTTCAACCCTTACCATGTGCCAGATACTGTGCTAGGTGGCACGGCTATAAAAATAAAAACAGTCTCTGTCCTTGAGAAGTGTTTGGGAGAAATACTGGAATTGATAAGCATTTGTTTTTAGTCATTTCAGTCATATCCAACTCTTTGTGACCTCATTTGGGGTTTTCTTGGTAAAAATACTGGAATGGTTTGCCATTTCCTTCTCTAGCTCATTTTACAGATAAGGAAACTGAGGCAGACAGATGTTAAATGACTTGCCCAGGGTCACACAGCTAGTGAGTGTCTGAGGCCAGATTTGAACTTAGTTCTTCCTGACTGTAGACCCAGTGCTCTATCCACTGCGCTACATTTACAAACAAATATAACATAAGGTAAATGTGGGGAGGGAAAGCACACCAGCAACTGGGAGTTATTGGAGTGGACTTTGAGGAAGCAGCACCTGAGCTGAGTGCTGAAGGAAGAAGATGACCCTGAAAGGTGGAGATGAGGGGGAATAGGGAAATGACTTGCACAAATGTGTAAAAACAAAGGATGGAATGTTGAGTAGGGAGACCTGAAAAGATGTCTGATGGGCCATTTATGTTACAGGACTAGAGCAGAGGAGAAAGGCTGGGGCTGGAGCTCTAGGGCTGAACATAATACATATATATATATATATATGACCGAACATATATACATATTCATATAAATATATATGCATGTATAATACATGTATGTGTATTTGTGTAAATGTATGTATACATTCAATCCTGTATGGAATACATATACATAAAATATACATACATACATATGCATGTGTGTGTAGATAGATAGATAGATAGATAGATAGATAGATAGATAGATAGATAGATAGATAGATAAAAGCAGCAAGGTGGTATAATGCCAGACCTGGAATCAGGAAGACTTATTTTCCTGAGTTCAAATTTGGCCTCAAGCACTTATTATCTGTGTGACCCTGAGCAAGTCACTTAACCCTGTTTGCCTCAGTGCCTCATCTGTAAAAATGAGCTGGAGAAGGAAATGGCAAACTACTCCAGTATCCAATTGCCAAGAAAACCCCAAATGGGATCATGAAAAGTCAGACACAGCCGAAAAACAACTCAACAACAACAACAACAACAACAAGATAGACAGGTAGATGGGTAAATAGATGGATGAATGATGGATGGATAGAGAGATACATGGATGGATGAATAATAAATTAATGGGATGGATAGATACTTGGATGGATGAATAGATAGATTGGTGAATGAATGGAAAGTTTGATAGATACATGGATGGATGACTAGATAGACTGATGGATAGATAGATAGCTACATGGATGGATTGATGGATAGATGGATACATACATACATGGATGTATGAATAGATAGACATAGAGATGGATGAATAGATAGATTGATGGATGGTTGGATAAATAAATAAATACACAGATGGATAGATAGATGGATAGATGGATAGATAAATAGATACATATGGATAGATGGATTGATGGATGGATGATAAATACATACACAGATAGATAAATCAGTAGATAGATAGATAGATAGATAGATAGATAGATAGATAGATAGATGAACCCCAGTCTTCTGACTCCAAGACGCGGTGCCTTTTTCACTATATCACTCTACCATTCCTAAACTAACTTGTGAACTAACTGAATATGGTGTCAATAGACAAAGTTGAAAAGATAGACTACTGAAAAAGACAATTGGCCAAAATGTGAATGCTCAAATTATAGCTTTTGAAACAGGACCATCCATTAATCTCTTGCATAGTAATAGTGGGAAATTACCTTGCAGAATGGTGGTGGGAACAAGTGATGGTAACCTTCTGTTTGGGCCTGCTCCAAACGCCAGTTTCATCACATGTTCAGTGCTATAGAATAAAGCAACTCCACTCAGAAAATCCTTGTAGAAAGGATTAGAACCCTTGTAGGAGAAGACTGAGCGTCATATAACTAACATTACCTTGGGAATAAGGTGGCTTTTCCAAACGGTTTCTATGCTTGTAAATTACTAATGAGATGAGCCTGATATAGAGGGTTGTTCAGATAGCTAGAAAAATGACTCATAGTTGATATCTTACAAAGAAAACATGCCTAGGTAGAGGTTGGTTCATAGTCAAATAAGTTTGTGTAGCCAAATTGCGTATTTCTTTAAATTTCATTCATAAACCTGGTTGCTTGACTGGCTTATGTGATGGAACTGTACAGTCCAGGTATAAGATCTTCAATAAAACTGGTACTAGAGAAAAGAGGAGGAGCTAGGAAAGAGAACAGGACAGACTCCCAGAGCCAGATCTATCAACCACTCATCCAGCAACCAATCTGTGACAAATTCTTACTGGTCCATAAAACTTTTACTTAACAAAGACATTATTTCATAGTGAATTATTTCTTAACGAAATACAGGGACAAATAGTGTGATAGAATGCTGCTCTTGGAACCAGATTCCACTTCAGACATTAACTGTGTGACTCTGGGCAAGTCTTTTCACCCCTTGTAGGTTTGGTTGCCTCCTCTGTGACATGAAGGGGTTGTTCTAAATGGCCCCCAACTAAGTCCCTTCTAGTTCTAAATCTGTGATCCTGTGAACCTGTGAAATGCCCCCACTCCAAGGAGCCTTCCTCTCCCCCGGTGCCTGTTTCATAGACTTTTCGCTACAAGGCTGTCACAAGGCAGAATGGTCCATCCGCCAAAAGCAAAGAATTGAAGTATTTTTTTTTCAGTACTCTGATTAGTTTGACTTTGGACAACTGTTGCCTTTCACTCAGGAGTCTGATCACTGGAAATGTCTTGAGGATCTAATAGCTAGCTGTGAGAACACCCACAGGTCTGAAATGGGACCTGAATTATTTTGCCACTTCATCTGAGAGGTTATCTTGAGGAATCCACAGTTCTTTATGTGACTAATTTCCCCTGGAGCTGACCACTGCTGGATTTGCTCCAGGGATGCTTGTGGGTAGCGCTTTCCCATGTGGCTTGTCGCTTGCTTTGTTTTCCTAGGAGAACTCAGTATTGGATTGCTGGATTTCCTCTTGTTTGGCAGTTGATAGCTGCAGTGGACCCTGTGGCCGTCCTGGCTGTTTTTGAAGAAGTCCATGTCAATGATGTCCTGTTTATCATCGTGTTTGGGGAGTCACTGCTGAATGATGCTGTCACCGTGGTAAGCAAGTGGTGGTGAGGGTTTGGTTTTTGGTAATTTCCTCCTCAAGCTTTGATGAAGCTTTTTTTTTCTTTTTTAAATATTGGGAACTCTAGGCAAAAATGATTCAATAGCTGTCAAACAGTTGAAAAGTTCTGCCAGTGCCTAGGAAGTACCCACTCCTTTGTCCTGTTTCCTTTCCCACCCTATGGGCCATGACAAGACTCTGCAACCAACCCCAGGATAAACTCGGTCTGATTCTCCCAAGTGGAAAACTGGACTGAAACTTAAATCTGTTCTATCTGCAGTATTCTCTTTACTTACGAAATTCATAATCTCATCAAGAAATGTTTCTGGCCTGTCTTGTTGTTAAATCTGATAGCTCTCCAGACCCCTTGCATTTTACTGACTCTCCTACTTGCTATGTTACTTAATATTTTTGCCCACATTAAATGTCCATTTAAGCAGCTGTTAGTCTTCCTGCTGCTTTCTGTCTTAACTAGTAAACTAAGGAGCCCTTTGGGGGCAGGGAAGGGAATGAGGAAAAGAGGAGAAGCCACACGTGTGATTTCATCAGTGCAAAGTCCTAGGGAGTAAACTCCCAAAGCAAATCAGCACCTGATCTGTAAGTTCCCTGGAGGCCATCAGAAGCTAAGTGAATTGTCCAGGGTCATGCAGCCTGTTGTGTGTCAGGCTGGACTAGAATCCAAATCTTTCTGATTCCAAGTCTGGCTGGCTCTTGATCCACTACACCTTACTGTCTCTCTCACCAGTTTTTTTTTTATTGTTATTCAGTTGTATCCAACTCTTCATAGCCCCTTTTGGGGTTTTCTTGGCAAAGATATTGGAGTGGTTGGCCATTTCTGTCTCAAGCTCATTTTACAAATGAGGAAACTGAGGCAAGCAGGGTTAAGTGACTCAGGGTCACACAGTTAGTGCCTGAGGCCAGATTTGAACTCAGGTCTTCCTGACTTCAGACCCAGTGCTCTATCCACTGTGCCCCACTGACCAGTTTTACCTTCTCCTAATTCAAAATTGCAAACATTTTAAAATGATGTTTCTTCCATTAGTTCTTTTCAAACTCACAGTTACACATAGTCCCCACTTCCATATTTCTCCCTACTTAATCACTGTTACTGAGAGAAGTAGTTCTCAAATTTTTTGCTCCGCAGCCCAATCAGTGGAGTAAAAGACCCCACAGATCATTTACCCCATCTACTCCTGCTTATTACTGCATGAAAGTCCCATTGGATTTGAGGAAGGAGGAGTCATGATATTTCTCCAAAGGGAATTTCACCAAATTTCACCAAAGGAATTATTTCTGGATTTTAATTAATATGATAAGTAAATGACAGATTTCTGCTCAAAATAAAAAAAAAGAGATTGTTATGGTGTAAACATCAAAAGTACCACAGTCCATCTCACAGGATAACTGGAAGGCTTTTGAAGGTGATCAAGGGTCTCTTAGACAACTTTAGAAATATACTTTGTGAGCCTAGAGTACTTCGAGGGCAGGATGGATGCAAAGCATTATGATAACACAAGAGGATTTATTAGCCTTTTTTAACCAAGGAACACATTTGTTTCCCTGCCATGGGAAACAAGATCTCTCTTCAGTGCTTTCCAGGATTCTCTTCTTGGTCAGGCTTATATCCCAGGAAAGAAGAAAAGGAATTGGCCAATTTTCCCAACTCTTAGAATAACTTGTTGATAAATCTCCTTTTAACTGTGATATAGCAGATTTAGACTCAAAGGACCTAGGTTCAAATCTCAGCTTTGCTACTTATAACTTGTTATGTGGTCTTGGGCAAATAACTCATTGAGCCTCAGTTTCTTCATCTGTAAAATGAAGGGCTTAGACTTAGGGGTGAGGAACCTGTGGCCCTCGAGGTCCTCAAGTGTAGCCCTGTGACTGAATCCAAACTTCACAGAACAAATCCCCTTCATAAAAGGATTTGTTCTGTAAAACTTGGACTCAATCTAAAGGCCACACCCAAGGACCTAGAAGGCTACATGTGGCCTTGAGGCTGCAGGTTCCCCACCTGTGGCTTGATTCTAAATCTCGATGGTCATTTCTAGTCCTAAATCATCTGAAACTATATGATTGTGACAGTGTGCTGAAAAAATCGTGGTACAGAATTGCTAGCAAATTGTACCCATGCCTTCACCTTGTAGAATATGACCTTGGAAAGTCACTTTCTGGTCTTCATTCTCCTCATTTGTAAAATGAGGTGGTTAGATGAGAGAGACAGACAGGCAGAGAGAGAGAGACAGAGACAGAGAGAGAGAGAGAGAGAGAGAGAGAGAGAGAGAGAGAGAGAGAGAGAGAGACAGAAAGAGAGAAATGATTTTTTTTTCCTCTGGAATAGAGACCCAGTGCTCTCCTTAGTCAATCATTCCCACTTTTTAGAGTGTTCTATTATTAGATCTGATAGCTTTTCAGACACTCTGCATTATGCTGTTTACTGATTTACTGAAAAAGGATAATAAATCCTTGGGGATTAACACAGCAATTTTTTTCTCCCAAAGTTCTCAATTGTTTATTTGATTGTGCAATGTGTCCTCCCTCTTCTAAAGTACTATACACACAAAATCTTGACTCACCTTTTTTGAGAATTTCACAACTCTTGACATAATTGGTCAAGGTGTTAAAAAATTGATGTTGGGAATTAGTGACCTACAAACAGGAGTATTACAGTTATGTCAGCATCAAGTAGAAGTGCTGGCTGCTTCTACCTCCATCACCTCCTACATGTGCTCACACACACACACACACACACACACACACGTGTGTGTGTGTGTGTGTGTGTGTGTGTGTGTGTAATTTGTGTAATAGATCTCCCTACCATTGCATACTTGTTTGGAGAATTAAAACTCCCCAGAATCCCAGTAATCTTAAAGGTGAGGAGGGAAGGTAATGCAGGTGGGGGGCAGGGTGGAGAACAACAGCTACCCAGTTCATGTAGGTCTGGGGTGCCCAGCTTGCATAGTTCTGATGCTACCATCTATTAGGCTGCCCAGGTGGCAGGAAGGAATAACACAGAAAGTAGCATCTGACCTATATTTAGAGTTATAAGTGAACAGGCTACGTATGCACTAGTTGCATTAAGCAAAAGAATTATGAAAATCAAATAACACTGCTTGATATTACACTAGCATTATCCATTTTCTTATAATACGAACCTGGTTTTGGCCATTGCCTTTTCATAAAGTAGAAGCTAAAACAACCCGAAAGACCCAGCACCACTCACTTTTTTTGTGGAGTATGAACAAGGTGCATTTCTATCTAGCCATAGAAATCTAACCAAAAGGCACTCATGTACAAAAGTAAAGTCAAGGTGATGATACTAAATATGATTACTTCTCCATTTCTAAAAGGCCTTTCTCTAAAAAGGCTATTTCCTTTAATAAATGAATGCTCTAATTTATTGATCACCATTAGAAGTTTGAGGGGTAAAAATGGATCCATTTCTCCATAAGAAAATTGTCCTTGTCCTGTTTAGTTTTGCTTACCTAATCAGAAAAAAATAAATCAGGACTTGAACATCCATATTTGGTTCCTAGAATATTCTCAGTGGTGATACTTTGGGAATCAATAAGATGAATGATCGCTAACCCTAGTTCCACTGGTACAGCTCCATCACTATTTTTTGTTTGCTTCTATAATTACTAAACTACCAAAAGCAGCTCAACATTTCATTTATCTTGAAGTAGTTTCAATTATTTAGTAGATGAGAATTCACCCTTCTTTTATGTGACCTACATTTCCAAAAAGAAAAATGGGGCTGCTAAAAAAAAAATCTGCTCTTTTAATCCCATTTAATATCTTTATAAAATAAAATAATTCCTATTTCATCCCTACAGCTTAGCCAACAGAATTTAGCAAGAATGAAATCTGTTTTTGAGACTCGTTTTCATCACACCTTTAGATAACTTCCAGATATTCACATCAATTCTCTTTTTCTAGCACAACGATCACTGGGTCCTGGGTCTAGATTATAGAGGGACAAGGCACCACACTGTGACACAGTGGGGATAGGGGCTCCATCTTGAGTCAAAGGACTTGGGTTTGAGTCCTTGCACTGCTATAAGCTGCCCCTCTGACTTTGGGCCTCAGTTTCTTCATCTGTAAAATGATGGGCTTGATCTAGATGACCTTTCAAAGGTCCTTTCAGTTCTACACCTATGATCCTAGGTCTCTGTCTATACCACAAGACAGAGATGTTTTGAAATTTAGTGGAGCCATTTACCAGATTGGAGAGTACAAGAGGGGAGTTCCTTGCTGCCTTCTTGTACTCTCCTCCCTAATAGTCATAGGTCTACCTAGAGCTGACTCCCAATAGGTGACAGTGGCATACTTGGGGGGGAGGGGGCAGAACCTTATGTCTCTCTTGTGCATACAGTCAATGGCTGGGGTGGGGGAGGCAAAAGTAACCTTCAGCGAGTGCTGGCCTGCTCCATATTGTTCCATCCCTAATGGCACCCCCTTTTCTGGGTTATGTAAATAAAACGTTATAGTGCTTTAGTGTTTGTGAGGTACTTTCTGGAAAAGGAATAGAAACTAGCATCATTTTAAAAGAACTCAGACACAGAAAACACAGCTGTCTATACAAGCTGTAGTGAGGAAAAGCAATTATCCAGGATCAAGTTTCTTAGCTTTTTATCTCAATGTCTTGATAGGATAATGTTTAAACATCAACACCCGCATAGACTGCAGGGGGTAAGAATCCCACAAGCCAGGAGTCAAAACAATACCAAGTCATTTAAAAGAAATAGGTGGGTTTGATAATCATGATTTATTGAATTATATGGTTTGTAATCCCTGTTTTGTTATGATAAGGAAATGTGCCAGATGTGCTCCTAACAGGTGATCTTACAGAAAGCCACAGCATGCATGTGGCACCCAATTCTGAATTTCACTATTTATTTGAAAAGATTTCAGTTCAGAATGTTCTTTCCTCCTCCCATTGAATAGACAATGTATTGCATTTCATCTTCCTCTCTTATTTTTGGCCTTTTTAATGTTGATTATTATTATTCCATGATGATTTTTCCTTCCAACAGTTTTGTTTCCAAACTAGACTGGTTCCTTTCTCCTCCTCCCCATCTCTGCTACAGTCCTACCTTCCACGACATGTAAAATCAGTGGCTATTAGTAGGAGAGAATCATTTGACGTCTGAGGCATGATGAACTCTTATTTGACTCACTTTCTCTCCTTTTAGGTCCTGTATAATGTTTTTGACTCTTTCGTGTCACTGGGTGCTGACAAAGTGACAGGAGCGGACTATGTGAAAGGCATAGGTGCGTAAATTGAGATATTTCCTAATCCTTTCTTCAGAACTTCATTAAGGGCTTGCGTAGCAACATTAAGATCTACAATTAGTGTCATTGATTCAGCAATTTTGTCAAAAACAATATTTTGCATGATTGTCTACATAGCAACAATAATACTTTACAGGGGTAAGTGAATATTTCTTTGGGTGGATCCATTTACATGCTAAAAAAATGATTCTACAGTCTCTCCTCCATAGGTCCTATAGTCTGTGGAAGCCGGGGTGCTGAAGTTGAAATGCTGAACAGTTAGCATAAGCAGTGGTCTACCAGTCCCCTTTATAAAGAATTTCCCCTTTAAAGTTTGAGTCTGCCTATTCCAAAATCATGTTCATCATCTTCCCCCAAACCTGCTTCTGTTCCTCATATTTCTGTGGGTTGTACCACCCTCTTCCCAGTCACCCAGGCCTAAAACCACAGAAGCATCTCTGACCACCTCACTCTTTATCATTCCTCAAATCCAGTCAGTTGCCAAGCCTTGGCTGGCTGTCTACGATCTCCTGCAACCATCCTTTCCTTTCCATTCCCATTGCTAAATGGTTCCTCACCTTAGTACATGGTCTTGCCACACTCACGTTTAGAAACCGTCAACAGCTGCCCATCTCCAACATAATCAACAAGAGCAGGAAGTATTTATTAAGAACCTGCTGTGCTGCAAATACAAATACAAAAGCGAGGCTGTACCAGCCTTCACAAAGTTTACATTCCTCTATGGGAGCACACGTTTGTCGTTAAATAAACCCAACACACCAAATAATTAAAGAGTGATTAGGGGTGGGGGAAAGTAACAGCTGGGGGAGTCAGGAGAGACCTCTTGAAAGAGATAGATACTTGAATTGAGCCTCTACAGAGTAAGTGGTTTCGAGGGAGAGAGGTGAGGAAGAAAAATATTCCAGGAATACAACGCCATGGAGACAGAAGATAGAATGTCTTGAGAGAGAGAAAGTTTGATGAACCATAGAATGTGTGATCTGGAGTAATGTAGAATAAGGCTAGAAAGGTAGAATAGAGCTAGACTATGAAGGCTTGAAATGACAGGCAAGAATTGGCATTTTATCCTGGTTGCATTAGGGGTTTCTTGAGCAGGGAAATGATATTGTCAGACCATCCTTTAGAAACGTCCATTCACAGCCACATGGAGGACAGATAGGAGAAAGGAAAGTCTGGGAGGAGACCATTTAGGAAGCAATTTCTGTAGTTTAGATGAGAAGTGGCAAGGTCCCGAACTAGCCTGGTTGTGGTCTAAGTAGAGAGAAGAGGACAGATACAAGAGATTTGCAGAAGGAAGAAATGGCAGAATTTGGCAATTGATTAGCTATGTGGGATGAGTAAAAAGGAGGAGTTGAAGATGACTTGCAGTGTTATTTAATTAGAAGAATGGTAAATCTCTCTGCATAAATAGGGAAATCAAGTTGAGCGAAGAGTTTAATAGAAAAGATAACGAGTTCCGTTTTGGACATATTGAGTTTAAGATGCCTAGAGGATTGCATTTCTATAAGTAAATGTAGGTCAGATTTCAGTGAGTATGGCAGGGGGTGGGGGAGAAGGGGAGGGGAGGTCATGCCAGTTGCTTAGAAAGAAAAGAGAAGGTTTGGAAGAACTATTGACAAATGAGATGTAGGTTCTTCAGGAAGAAGTGAAAGAATTGTTGTGCAGTACTGTGGACCCAGTTGGAGATGGGGAGTATATGTTTGTAGTGGATCCAGTCAGCACAGTGGTGTGATTTCCTCCAGCCATGTTTAGCAGCTCAGGATCAGAAGAAGAGAATGGGTATGGTAGAGATTATCCAGGATTAGAGTTTGGAAGGGGATGAATGTGGTAAGACACAGGAGCAAGAGATGTAATGGTAAAACTCGGTATAAAGTTGAGCTAATTAAATAAAGGGCCAAAGTTTTGCATGTAGGAAAGTGAGACCAGACTGAGGGTGATGGTCTGGGGGTAGAGTGACTGAAGGTTGTGTTGAATACAGAGAATGGTTTTAGGTACAGGGAGAGATGTCAGGACAGAGGTTGCTATCTGATGGATTTCAGTGATTTTTTGTAGTGGCCCATCACTTGTGGGTGATGATGAAGTCAAGGGTATGACCATCCATCCCCATGTACAGAATGGGAGACAATGATCATTTGCAGCAGAGGTGTCAAATGGGCCTTCTGACTAGATTTAAATCTAATTGGGAAATATTTAACAAAATAAATAAAAATATAGAACATAAATCATGTTAATATGTGGTTTTTCCAAGTAAATATACAGTGCTCAGGTTTTTGGTTTAGTGGCTTATTTGTATTTGAGTTTGATAGAATGGTTTAGGGAACTAATGAACTGAGAAACAAGGCTATTTTAGGGGATAGCAGAACAACAAACCCAAGCCGAGGTCCCGAAGTTCAAGAGCAGGGAATTGGGGTGGAGAGGAAGCCTGGGAGCAAGGTACTGAACTCCTTGAGAAAGAAGAAGAAATGATCTGGGGCTATGATAACAGCCTTGGGGTATTCAAATGGCCACTAGGATCTGGATAGGCTGATATATGCAGCTGGAGGAGAGATTGCTGAGTGTGAAGGTGTTAGTAGAAAAGACCTGGAGGTGGCCATGAGAAGAACAAGAAGCATACCTACTCCTTTCCTAACACAGTGTGTAAGGGGCATGAGAGAAGGTGCAATGGGCATTGGAGAGGGTGACTAGGGCTGTAGAGTTCCAGAGTTCACAATGGAAGGAACTACAAAGCATAATAGGGTGGAATAGGAATAGGGATGATGGGGATGAATACTCTTATATTGGTTGGTCATAGAGGGTTGAGATGTAGATTAATTTACCCTCTAATCAACAACCAGAACAGTTCTTCCCCAGGTCCCATCCCAAAGTTAAGTTGTTTCTCTCATCTGGTGGAATTGGTGAGAGGGTCACCAGAGATTCAGAGCATCCTTGTTCCTGGTGGTAAGAGATGGGCAGCAACAGGCAAGTGGTTGTCCCAGTGCAATGGATGGGATGATATGCTCCTTGTGCTGACATTTCCTATCCTTCACAATCTGTCCCCATACTACCTTTTCAGATTTATCTCCTGCCATTCCCTTTCACGCATTAAATACTGTACTGGAGTACTCCACCATCTGGACTACTTAGAATTACTTGGATATGGCCTGTGCTTTCCTGTCTTTACACCCTTGCTCTCATTAACCCCTATACCTGTAATGCCCATATTTCTTCTTCCTAATGAAAGAACACCCATCCTAAATTCTACCTTCTTCATGAAGACTCCCCTGGCCTCACCAGCCTGAAGGACACTTTCACTTTTTGCAATCAATTCAATTCAGCATACATTTATTAAGGACCTGGTTTGTGCTAGGTGCTGGGGACACAAAGAAGAAAAAAAAAGAGTCCATAACCTCCAGAATTTATATTCTTTTGGAGGGATACAACACAGACACAAATAACTAACCACACAGCCAATACAAAGTGATTTCAAGAGGCAAGGAGGGCTACAACTGAATTGACCTTAGCTGAGCTTTGAAGGAAGCTAGGACAGAGGTGAGGATGGAGTGCATTCTAAACATGGGAGTCCACCCATATTAAGTCTGAGAAGTGGGAAGGAGAATGTTCATGCACAGTGAATGGCTAGTAAGCCAATCTGACCAAACACAGCATATGTGAAGGAAAGTGAATAAAATAAAAACGGATCCATCGGTTAGAACCATATTGTGGATGGCTTTAGATGGCAGACTGAGAAGCTTGTAAGCTTGTATTTTATCTTGAAGACAATAGAAAGCCACTGAGGATTTCTTAGTAGTCATTGAGTTAACATTTGTCAGATAGGTTTGAATAATGTATTGGGAAGGGGAAAGACTGGAAACAGGGAGACAAATTAAGAAGCAATTACAGTAGTCTAGGCAAGAGGTAATAAAGGCTTGAGGTAGGATGGAGGCTGAGTGAATGAAGAGAAGGGAGCAGATGCAAGAGATATTGTGAAGGTAGAATCAACAAAATAGCATCTGGATGAGAGAGAGAGAGAGAAATACACATATATAGAAAGCTATCAATATCTATATCCATATGTATGTATTGATATAGATGTATATGAATAGAGATGACCATCAAACTGATGGATGCAGATGAGTTCACCATGGGAGAAAATGTGGAAAAAGAAGAAAAGAGGATCCTGCTTTGGGGAAACAAAAAGGATAATGATCCAGCAAAAGAGATCAAGAAGTTGTGGTCAGACTGGTGGGAGAACTTAGAAGACTGTTTCACATAAGAGAAAAATGTTCAGGAGGAAGGGATGGTCAACAGTGTAAAAAGCTTCAGAGAAGACAAGAAGGATGAAGACTGAGTAAAAGGTCATTGGATATAGCAGAAGAGTTTTTGTAACCTTTGAGAAAACATTTCTAGTCTAGTGGAGAGGGGGGTCAGAGGCCAGACTACAAGAAATTAAAAAGTGAACAAGAAATGAAGAAATGGAGGCAAATATTATGGAAGATCCTTCCTAGTAGTTTATTTGTGAAAGGGAGAAGAGATATAGCATAATCAGTTGAGAGGATGGCAAGATCAAGTGAAGGTTTTTTGTTAGGTTTTGTTGGGGGGGGGGTTCTGTCTGTATCCTCAGCATCTAATGCACAGCCTGGAACTTAGTAGGTGCTTAATAAATTCTTGTTGAAATTGAATTGAATCTTCATTCATAAAACTGTGTTGGCCCAACACAGTGAGAGCCCAAACTCACTCTTAGGAGTAACCTGCCCCTAAAATAGTCACTGCAAAAGGAAGTATTTCTCTACCCAGTGTTTAGAACATAATCATCTTCTGTTCTTTCTTAAAATGGTTGGCCATGGTGTTAGGTCATATAAGGAGAAAGTCTGAAATTTCCTGACTTGTCCTTCTGTCTGTGATGGGGGAAGGGGGGGGTGTTTTTTGAGGAACAAGCCAAGTCTCTAGAAGAAATATGAAAATGTGTTGGTCCTGATGGTTGACAATAAGAACTCCCCCCCTCCTCTTCTCTCCTGCCCTGGAAAATAGTAGCTGGAGCTTTAGCTGCTCACATATGAAATACAGTGCTGAGAAGCAGAGAATGCAGTCTCTTGTTTCCTAGTTTGTTGATTCCTCAGTAGGACGGGGTTACTGAGCAACAAATGACGAAAAAAATGATCATAAGAGACAGTGCTGTCACCCACGACACTGGGGCCCTGGGATGCCTGGAACAATGAGGCCATTCATTTTGTACCAAAGTCAGCGTTGTTGGTTCTTGTCTCTTTTGTAGTGTCTTTCTTTGTGGTGAGCTTGGGAGGCACACTCATTGGAGTTATCTTCGCCTTCTTTCTCTCTCTGGTGACTCGTTTCACCAAACATGTCCGGATCATTGAGCCAGCATTTGTGTTCATCATCTCCTACCTGTCCTACCTCACCTCTGAGATGCTTTCCCTCTCATCCATTCTTGCGTAAGTATCTCTTCCATAAGTGGACGATGCCACCTGCAAGAAAACAGTAAGGCTCCAAATCTTGTCTGAAAACGAATACAGAAGAGTGACGGGTGTTTTGGCCTTCATTTGGTTGGGTTAGTCATAGTCACTGGCAAGTATAGTATGTTCCAGAAGTAAAATCCTTTAGGAAGCCCATGACACCAAATAGCACGCAGTTGACATTCACTCAATAAAAAATGAAACATTCTTCTCCTTCTCTATGCATATACCACTACATTGCTCAAGAGAATGTAAAACGATCAGGACACAGTCTTCTCCATAGACATAAAGTGATCTCTTGGGTAAGATGTGGCCCACGGCCATATGTTGTAGGCCACATCTGCTAGCTTATAAAGAATCAAAGAGAAAAGAAAGGAGGGAAGAGTGGGCCGTGGTTCCTCATGTTGGACTTCCACAAATAAAATCAAAAGGATGGTGAAGCAATTGTCTGGCGAAAGAAGACAGAAACCAGGCTATTGGGGGAAAGTAGGTGCTTGTAGGCCTGAGTTATCTAGGTCATCTGTTTGTAATCTGATTGTTAAAGGATTCTCAATTCTCCTTCATCTGATTAGACACCGCCTTAAAGGATTAAAAAAATTCACTACAGAAACTAACATTCTAATTTAATTCATTTTATGTCCTTTATTTGAGGGACAAATAAGTCAAAAATTGTTTGAGGTATTTTACTGCCTTTCTATGGATGCGTTGTAGCTCTGGACTCTACAGCATTAATTGTTATGTAGCAACTAGAATAATGCCAGATGGAATCCTATTTACAAATAAAAATTGCTGAGATGCATACTTAGATATATTTATAGCTCTAATGATTTAAATTTAATGAAATAACATTTTAGAGGTACAAGGGACCTCAGATCATCGAGTACAGGGGTGGGGAACCTGTGGCCTCGAGGCTGCATGTGGCCCTCTAGGTCCTCAAGTGTGGCCCTTTGAATCCAAATTTCACAGAACAAATCCCCTCAATGAAAGGATTTGTTCTGTAAAACTCGGATTCAGTCAAAAGGCCACACCCGAGGACCTAGGGGGCCCCATGTGGCCTTGAGGCTGCAGGTTCTCCATCCCTGATCTAGTATAAACATTTCATTTTATTTGTGAGAAAAATGAGGTGAAGAAAAGGTTAATGTGGGGCAAAGCTGGTATTCCAACCCAGTTCTTCTGGAACAAAGTCCAGTCTTCTCTCTGCTACCTCTCTTACGGTAATCCTTCCTAACCTGCCTCTTCCAGTACATAAATTAAGGAATAAATGATTATTTATTGACCATCTATCATGTGTTCAGCATAAGGAAAGAACCTCTGGGGGAGGGGGAGATGCAAAAAAAGTGTAAGACAAGAAATATCTTTCCCCCAAGAAAATCTACAGTCTAGCTAGGAAAATTAATACACACCAGAGCTAAATCATATAGTCTAGACCTTTAATTCAGTAGAAATTCAGGGAATTGAGAAGTGCATTAGTCAGGGAAGGGCAACACTGAGGAGATTGAACTTGACCTAAGCAGTAAAAAGACAGGAAGACAAGAGCTAGAGAGGAAGAAGCAAAGACCTGAACATGGGTGATGAGGTACCAACGAGCATGGTATATTGGTGGAACAGTAAGGATTCTGGCCTGACTAATTTAGGGAATGTTGGTGTTCTGAAACCTATATGCTGGCACCATGGATTTCTTATGGTCCATCTTGTAAAAAGATGGCATTGCTGGTATGGTTCAGTCATTTTTCAGTCTTATGGAACTCTTCATGACCCCATTTGGGGTTTTCTTGGCAAAGATACTGGAGTGGTTTGTCATTTCCTTCTCCAGCTCCTTTCACAGATGAGGAAACTGAGGCGAACAGAGTGAAGTGACTTGCCCAGAATCACACAGTTAATAAGTGTCTGAGGCCAGATTTGAATTCAAGAAGATGAGTCTTCCTGATTCCTAACCTGGGGTTCTATCCACTGTGCCACCTAGCTGCCCAGCATTGGCACTTTTTATCTAAGGGGCAGCTAGCTGGCACAGTGCATAGAACATTGGGCCTGGAGTCAGGAAGACCTAAGTTCAAATCTTCCCTCAAACACTCACTAACTGTGTGTGACCTTGGGCAAACCACTTCCCCCTTTTTGACTCAGTTTCCTCATCTGTAAAATGAGCTGGAAAAGGAAATGGCAAACCACTCCAGTAGCCCCACCAAGAAAACCCTGAATAGGATCACAAAGATTTGGACACAACTGAATGATAACAACATTTTATCTAAACCGCCTTTATTTATTCTTATCGTCCTTACTTCTGCTTTGCGGTAGGTCGTGCTGTAGCAAGTGTACAAAATTAACAAACTTTCATTAAGTCTATTAAGACCATCTAAATAATATAATATTTCACAGAGGAGGTCATTTATCTGAGTAATTGTGGATATCTTTCCAGGATTACTTTCTGTGGCATATGCTGTCAAAAATACGTGAAAGCTAATATTTCTGAGCAGTCATCAACCACAGTGAGGTATACCATGAAGATGTTGGCAAGTGGAGCTGAAACGATCATTTTTATGTTCCTGGGAATCTCTGCAGTAGATCCATTCATCTGGACTTGGAACACAGCATTCATACTCCTAACATTAGTCTTCATTTCTGTCTATAGAGCCATTGGTAAGAAAAGCTGGCCTACTTCACTTAATTCTAAACATTATCACATAATCCCTAGGTATCACAACATGAAACCTGAGAGAAATGAGCCAAGAACCCTTTGGAGCATGTTTTCGGTTTAAGGGTTCCTCAGGAAGGAAGAAGGCATTCTGGAAACATAGCACATGATGCATTTATTAGATTTTCCACCAAATCTTTATCTCTTAAGTTAAGCACCTTAGCTGGATAATACAAAGATTTTCTTGAGAAACCGAGCTGTTACAGACACTGAGAGACGAATGCTTCTTTCCAAGTTGCTCGCTTTCTCACTGTCCCAGTTACATACCAGGGTACAGGAAGATCATTATGACCATATAGTGGATTAAGAATGGCAACAGATGTGTTCCTGGACTTTTAGGTCAAGGAGAGACAATGAAGCAGAGATGAGACTGAGGGTGGCCAAAGGAGGCAGCCACCTAGAAAACAACACAGAGGGAGGAGGGAAAAAGATGCAATGCAGGACTCATTTTAGTTTTACTTTTTATAAATATGCAGAATTTTAAAGACATAAAATTTTCTTCACGGCACATAGAAACTTACTTCTTAGTACATTGTTACCTTTTTATAGTGATGATTCAATGTTGCTGATTGACAATAAACATAAGGCAATGTTTTAAATTGTGAGTGGGGGCACAATTTATAAACTTTGCCTAGGAAACACAACTTCTCCTGGTTCTGTTTTGAGTGGGGTAGTGAATTGTACAAAATCCAGGGGTGGGGAACTTGCGGCCTCGAGGTCCCATGTGGCCTTCTAGGTCCTTAGGTGTGGCCTTTTGACTGAGTCCAAGTTTTACAGAACAAGACCTTTTATTAAGGGGATTTGTTCTGTGACGTTTGGATTCAAACACACATGAGGACCTAGAGGCCCACATGTGGCCTCGAGTCTGTACATTTCCTACCCTGGAGTAGAGCTTGTCATCATTTGGTTTCAGATTGACTTGCTTAGAACTCTGCCAAAATTGTAACGTAGTAAAAATCAAAGCAAGTAAATGGGGCATGGGGAAGGGATTTTGGGGAGAATCGTTTTGAGATGCTTTGCAAGCTTTCTTTCAATAAAGAAGTCCTTGCCCTTTCAGCATGAGCAAGGTCTGTTCTGATATTCTCATTCCACAACTGGTAGTTAGTGAAATGGGGGCCATTACACAAATTCTCTACCTACAGAGTGACTTGTGGAGACTAAAAAGTTTCCCATTGGTTCCCAAAGTACTGCAAGGAGGATAAGGAGGGAGTGGCAGCTGGGAGATCTGAATCCTCGTGTCTTTGTTCATGAACTTGACACTGGCACAGCTAAGTTCCCACAAAGGATAAAACTTCCTTCTCTTTTCTGGCAGTCATGTTGGGAATAAAAAGGTAGAACTTCCAATGAGAATGTACAGTTGGGAGATGAGTGATTTCAGTTCCTTTCTGCGGCATGAAATTCTGCAATCAAAAACAATGCAACAAGCTAATTTTAAGCTTGAGTTTGAAATACGATGATGTAAGGCTATACACAGTTACAGCTCGTATTCACCCATCCAAGATAGAAATAATTTCCAGTGACTGCTGAGAAACCAAGAATTAGGGTCTGCACCATCACACACTGAAAGTGTCACGCATTACCAAGTGGATAAGGGTTTTAAATTGACATGTCAAACCTCTGTTCATATTTTGAAGTAAGCTATTACATTTAGGGGTTGGGGAGTATTTCTCTATGTCTCATTAGGAGAGAGTCTGATGCTATTAAGCTTCACTTCAGACTTTCCCATATGCAAACACTGTATATATTTTTGGTTTGGACACTGGTCTTAGGAAGGTTGTGAGAGGTATTCTCCAGATGCACCTGTGATAAAAGAAATGTACTAGGAAGAACAGTGTTGGACAAGAAGTTTAGAAAGTATTTCTGATCACTCTATTAATGGGATTTCTTATTTTGTAAAATAATCATGAAACTATATTACCTCATCCTCCACCTTTCCAGAGAATTGAATTACCATGCTAAGTAGAAGGAAATCCCTACCCTTCATCCACCTGCTAGGCATCTGAACATAAATTTAAGGAAGTGAGGTTCTCTGAGTGCTGTTTTCTATGGGTTCCTAAGCCTGTTCCTTCCAAACAGACTGACAGGAAGATTAGTGATGAAAAACAGCCAAATGAGTCCGTAGCAAAGTAAAAAAATAGCACATTCTTTCCCTGGAGCTTTCTTCGGGGGGAGGGGGGTGAAGGGGAACCTGTGTCATAAACAGTAAGATAAAATTGAGTGGCAAGTCTGACAAAATTTAATAAAAACCTTTCCACCAAGCTTTACTTTAGAAGAGAGATACTAAACAAATGTTTTATGTGTGTTGAGATCACAGTGCATATTTTTTTTCCTAGGTGTGGTCTTACAAACATGGCTTCTGAACAAGTATCGGATGGTCCAGCTAGAGATAATAGACCAGGTGGTCATGTCATACGGGGGACTCCGGGGGGCTGTTGCTTATGCCCTGGTAGTGCTTTTGGATGAAAAGAAAGTGAAGGCGAAAAACCTCTTTGTAAGCACCACCATCATTGTGGTGTTCTTTACCGTCATATTCCAGGTAACTAAGTAGCCGGGTTTTATGTGCTCCAACAGAGGGACTGAGGCAGAATGGACTTCCCTAAATCCAAAGGGGTCATTAGCTGCAAATGATTATTATAAAGTGTTTCAAGGCACCAGAAGCCTAATTGGCTTTGTAATTTTAGTAACTAGGAACCTGTTTTATAGGTTTTCACGTGGTACCACATGGGACCCAACACAATTTGTCCTGCATTAAAAAAAAAAAAAAAGGTCTTCCTCAGCCTGTAGCTGATTAACAAAGCCCAAGTTAATATTTCATCTGGCATTACTCAGCGCTAGCCAGAGTAGCCCCCTTTATATGGTAAGAGGAAGATCATGTCAGTGAAGAAAAGCATGTAGATGTCATTTTTTAGTACCCTGCCGAAGCTAAGTAGCCACATAGGTCATTTGCTTAGGTACCACTCTCTTTAGGAAAGCCAGGTAGGGCAGAGACCGCTAAAGGAAGAAAACTATGCTCATTTTCTCTGCAGTTCTCCACAGGGTGGTGGTATTATAGATATAGGCCTCAGCTGACATTCAGAAATCATTCTTTCCACAGTGGGAAGTGACTTCATTTACTTCCATTCTACCAACACAGAAAGTTTGGTTAATTTGGCCATGAGGCCATTTTTTGAAAAAATTCTGAATTCATGGCATAACAATGGTGAGAAAGAGGTTCCAATTTCAGTTAGATTGGCATATCAGGAAGTCAGGCCTTAATTAATTGCTCACTGCCAATTGAATGTGCATTTCTAGAACTTTGGGCTATTTTTTAAAAATCTCTGCTACCAAGGGTTGAGCTAGTGATAGAAAAAGAATATGAGCCCCCATGATTATGGGAACTATCAATTTATACTTATGTGGTTTAGTGGAAAGATCATTTGGATCAGAGAACCTAGATTCAAATAGTATAGTGGCACAAGCATGTGACACTGGTAAAATTAGTTGACTTCTCCAAGCCTTAGTTTCTTCATCTACATAATGGGACAGGAGAGGGTTAAGAACATTGGACTATATCAAAGGTTCTTCAACCCCTAATGGATCAATATAGATTTTCAGAGATGTCTTTAATTTTTTTTAACATTGCTGTAATTGTATTTTAAAACAATTGGTTTCCTATGTAATCCTGTATTTTGTCTGTTATATATTTAAAAACATTCTGAGAAAGGCTCCCCCAGACTGCCAAAAGAATCCATGACACCCACAAAAAGTTAAGAGAACTAGAATAGTCCAAACAGAAACTCCTGAAAATACAAGAAATATTAGAGTGAAATCAAAAGATTGAAAAAATAGAACAAAATATATCTGATATAAAAAACAACTGATTAGAAAACAGTTTAAGGAGAGATAATTTAAGAATAATTGGATTCAAAGATTATGAAAATAGGTGGTCTAGGGCCTAGAGCAGCTCACACCTCTGATAAATACACCAATAAAACTTTAAAATGCACCATTAACTGGCAAAATAAGGAGAATCACCTTTAGACTCCTCCACCCATCCACCCATCCCGGGATTGCACAGAAGAAGAAAAAAAAATGCCCTGGACACAAGGACTAAAGAGAACCTGGAAAAAATGAAACAAGAGATACAAAATGGAATAGCTAAGGTAGAAAAAACGGCAAAGAAAACTGACACCTTAGAAGAAATAATAGAAAATGTCACTCAAGAACTGAATGCCCTGAAAATTAGAATAAACCAAATAGAAAACAACTCATTGAGACAAGAAGTATTGAAACGAAAACACAAAATTAAAACAGCAATAACAGCAGAAGAAAAGGTGAGAAACATATTAACCACAACTGATCTAAAAAACAGTTCAAGGAGAAATAATCTAAAAATTATTGGACTTTACAAAAAATGATGATAAAAAAGACCACATAAGATATTTCAAGAAATTATAATGAAAAAGGTCCAAAATGAAAATGCTAAATGTGGAAAAACTAAGCAGAGAAAGAAGTGAACATTGATGCAAAACATTTAAATAAAATGTTAGTAAATAGGCTACAGCATTTTTAGAAAGATTATACCTATGACTCAGTTGAATTTATACCAGGAATATGGGGTCAATTTAACATACACAATATAAATATAATAAATCACATTGATAATATAAATAATAAAAATAATAGATTATAGCTATAGAAGCTAAAAAGGCTTTTGATGACATTCAATTTTCATTTCTATTAAAAGCTCTAGAAATCATAGGAATAAATTGACTTTTCTTCAATATAACAAATATTGTCTAAAATCATAAAATACTGTCTAAAATCACAGCAAATATTATATGTAATGAAAGAACCTTAGAAGCCTTTCCAATAAGATCAAGACTAAAGCAAGAATGGCCATTCTCACCACTACTATTTAACATAGTGCCAAAAGTGCTAGCTATAGCAAAAAGACAGAAAAGAGAAATCAAAAGGATATAGGCAAAGAGGAAACAAAATTGTCATTTTTTCAAACAATAGGATGATTTATTTAGAAAATCCTAAAGAGTCAACCGAGAATTATTTGGAATAATTAATAAATTCAGCAGTTACGTGATGTAAAACAAATCTACAGAAATAAACAGCATTTTTTATATTACCAACAAAATTTTTCTAGGAAGACTTAGAAAGAAAAAGTCCATTCAAAATAACTGTAGAAGGTATAAAATATTTAGGTCTTTATCTACCAAGATACCTCTATGAACTGTATAATTCAAGTTTGAAACGCCTGATGCAGAAATATAGACCTAAGTCAAATTGGAGGAATATTAATTGCTCATGGATTGGTTGAATAGCTGTGAATGTATCTGGCCATTCTGAAAATTACTTTGAGACTATGCCCTAGAAGTTATTAAACTGTACACATCCTTTGACTCAACTATATCACTACTAGACCTTTACCCCAAATGGATTAAAGAAAACAGAAAAGGAACTATAGGTACAAAAAATATTTATAGAAGCTCTTTTTATGGTAGTTCTAAACCAGAAATGAAGGGAATGCCTACCTACTGGGGAGCAGCTAAGCAAATTATGGTATATTAATATAATGGAATATTATTGCGCCATAAAAAATAACAAAATGTATGGTTTCAGAGGAAATTGGGAAGACCTATATGATTTCATGTAGAATGAATGGGGCAGAACTAGGAGAATAATCTATGCCATGACAACAACATTATAAAGAAAAACAATTTTGAAAGACTTAAGAACGCTGATTAATGCAATGATAAACCTTGAGTCTGGAAAACTGATTATACTACCCCCAAACCAAAGAGGTAATGGACTTAAAATGCAGGGTATGTATTTTTGGACATGGCCGATGTGGGGATTCATTTGGTTGGGGGGGTGATAAAAAGAATCATGGGACTCCTTGGAAATCATGATTTTTATAAAAGCAGACATATTTACAGAAATCGCAAATGAAAACTACCTAGATCTATTAGAACCAGAGGGCAAAATAATAATAAAAAGACTATACCAATCACTTTCTGAAAGAAACCCCAAAGGGAAAACGTCATAGCCAAAATCCAGATCTCCTACATCAAAGAAAAAGTAATACAAGCTTATAGAAAGAAGCATTTCAAATATCCAGGAACCGCAGTGAGGATCATGTTATTGTTGTTGAATTGATTAGTCATGTCTGATTCTTTGTGATTCCATTTTGGGGTCTTATTGGCAAAGACACTGCAATGGATACTTCCTTCTGCAGCTCATTTTATAGATGAGGAAACTGAGGCAAACAAGGTTAAGTGACTTGCCCAGGGTCAGACAGCTAGCAAGTGTCTGAGTCCAGATTTGAACTCAGGTCCTCCTGACTCCAGGCCCAGCACTCTATCCACCACACCACTTAGCTGCCCTGAGGATCACTTAGACTCTGGCAACTTCTACTATAGATAAGATGAGATCTTGAAACACAATATTCCAAAAGGAAAAACATGTAAACATAACTAAAAATGACTTACCCTACAAAGCTGAATATAACCCAATGAGAAAAAATATATACATTTAATGGAATAGAGGAGTTCCAAGTATTTTTGATTAAAATATCAGAATTGTGTTGAAACTTTGAAGTATGAAAACAAGAATCAGGAGAAATCTATGAAGGTAAATTTCTTCAAATAGTGGGAGCTGTACAATGATGATCTGTTACTCTAAAGTAGGAAAAAAATGCAACGTCTTTAAAGAGTATTGAGAGAATTAAATAAGAAAAATAGAGGCCCTGGGGATGGATTGGTTCTGTTCTGATGATTTTTAAAAAGGAGACAGAAGGTAGAAGGGATACACTAGTGTAGAAAGGAGGAAAAAGGGGGTAAGCATTTGCTATTTCCAATAACTGGGGTGTGTGAGAAGAGGATACACATAGAAGAGAGTGTGGAGAGAGTGGTCAGCTGAGGAATCTCACTCTTATCCAAGGAGGATTGAACATGCACAAAAATATCAGCCTCCACAGGGAAACAAGAAGGAATAGGGAGGTGACTGGGAAGAAGGTAAATAAGACTGAGGAAGAAGCAATCACAAGCAAAGTAAACTCCCTGATGCAGAAGGGGAGGCTAGAGGGGGGAAAGAAAAGAACTAGGATCAAAGGGGTGTCTATCAATTAGAAAACATCCGAACAAATCGGAGAATTTCCCAGAGAATCCTGGGTAACGTGGAATGATAGAGTGAAGGGAGAGGACCCAGGAAAACTGCAGCGTTCCGAAGAAAAACAACTCTGAAAGACTTAAGCACTCTGATCTGCAATGCAACACAATGATCAAACGGTGTCTTCAGAGGACTGATGATGAAGCATGTTACCTACTTCCTAACAAAAGTGATGGACGCAAAGTTCAGTACTGTGTCTATACCTGTGGTTACAATACGTACTGTGCTCTTCTGTTCATAATATCACTCATGATTTTTTTAAAAATACAATTATTATACTCTGTGTTTGAAATCAGGAAAGCATACAGTATATCTTAGAAAGATTTCCATGAATTTTGGGTTTTAAACAATTTAAAGCTCTTGCATTTAAAGGGTTAATTCACAAGTACCAGAAAGACTCACTTGTTAAAGACTCCAGAAAGCTGAGTTTCCACTAGACTCAAAACTCTGGTGTAGAATATTGGTTTGGTTACTAAATTTTTTCACTTATCTCCCTTAGTTATAAGAGCCTCATTTGTCAGGATTGAACTTTATTGAATACCCCATAGCATCTAAAAACAACAACAACCACCAAAAAAACACCGGGTCTGTGTAATAGATACTTCAGAAATGTTTATTGATTAAAGATTTCATCTGTTGTTTTAGACCCTACTACTGATAAAGAGGAGGCAGCTAGGTGGCATAGTGGATAGAGTGTCAGGCCTAAAGTCAGGAAGACTCATCTTCCTAAGTTCAAATCATTTAGCCCTGTTTGCCTCAGTTTCCTCATCTGTAAATATGAGCTGGAGAATGAAATGGCAAACCATTCCAGAATCTTCTTCAAGAAAATCTCAAATAGGGTCAGGAAGAGTCAGACACAACTGGAAAAAAAAAAACAGAAAGACTGGACAACAACAAATAATGATGAGCCCCATTTTTCCTTCTGTGACTAGGGAAGTGAATGTGGATAATTAGTAAGAACAAGTCATCTTTGATATGGGGAATTGAAGATAGAGATGGTTTTAGTTTCTCCTACGGCGGTCCTGGGTTGGGGTAGGGTATGGGAAGAGTGAGACAGCAGAGCCAAGATGCCATTACACTTTCCCCATAGAGCATACAACTTCCCTTCATTAATGCTGGCATATGCATGGCAACGAATCTCTAACCCAATTGAGTAGAAGCCAACCCCCTGAGATAACATGGAAGATGGAACTGAGGGAACATTATTGATGCCTTCTACATGTGAAGAGGAAAATCATAATCAGCATAAAATGTGTTTTATATTTTATATTAAATGTTATTAACAAATATTACTAACTAGTACTAGAAAAACAACAAAAATATTTATGCTAGCAAAAATGCACTATTATAGTATAGCCACAGCTTATGTTTATTGTTCCTTTTCCTAAGGAAAATAGAATGTTTTTCTTCATGGGCCTGAACCCACGATTGAGAAGGGGATAAGAATTCCCTTTCTGGAAGAGCCCTGGCTTCTTTTCTTTATGCTTTTTGTGTTTGGGAAGAAGTAATTTTCCAAATAACCTTGAAATGAATTAAAGGAACCAATGACGTAAGAAAAGTAAGCAATTTATTACCTTCTGAGATCCAGGTCCAGTGAATAATCTTTCTGTGACACAAACCCTTGTAAACAAACAGGCAGTTCAGTGAGCATGCATATGTAAGATGCTGAGAATTCTGATGGAACAGGTTTTATTGGTCCCCATTTCATGAAGAAATGGTCTTAGTAAATTTAGTGGCAGCAAAGTCCCAGCGCAATGCATTCAAAACATTTTATCCCATTATTAACCCGTAGCTCAAAATGCCCCTGAGGTACATCCAGAATGTAGCAAACAGTCCTGTTGTGGCTGTTGCTAAGGCTAGTTTTGTGAGTGCTAAAAGGCTTCATTTTATTGTAATGTGATGGACTTTCCCTAAATCAGAGACTTGGATGATAGAAGACAACATCTCATGAGCAAAGCCCCTTGAGATAATGTTGAGTTCATATCAAAAGTTCCTCCCTGCGAGTCAGATTTCTGCCAAATACTGGCCTACAGAAGTTGTTTTTTTTTTTAAATAAATGATAAAAAGTAACCCAAAAGTAGAGATGACCCATGCTAGAGATGGCCCATTCACTGTTGGTAACAGACAACGCTGATCATGGCCCAGATCCACAACACTGTCAGCCTAGTGTGTGTGACTTATATAAATAGGTAGGGCAGCATATTCCAATGCAGGAACTTGTTCAGTCATTCCAATCCTGTCCAACTCTTTGTGACCCCATTTGGGGTTTTCTTGGCAAAGATACTGAAGGGTCTTGCCATTTCCTTCTCCAGCTCATTTTACAGGTGAAGAACTGAGACAGAGTTAAGTGACTTGCCTAGGGTCACACAGCTAGTAAGTATCTGGGGCCGGATTTGAACTCACATCTTCCTGACTCCACTCCACGCATTCTATCCACTATACCACGTAGCTGTCCCCAGTGCAGGGACTACTAGCAACATTCTGAGCTTCACTACCAGGACGCGTTAGGGTTATTGACAGGCCTGAGGCATAGACAGAAGAGAAATAAAAAGGGAGAAGAACAAGCAAGAGGAAGGAGTGAAGGAGAGAAAGGAGATGGACATGTTGGGGAGGAATGGAGCTGTCCTGACTACCTAGTCCTAATTCCTGCTCTTCCATCGGTCTGATCTGAGATCAGCATCCCCAGTGCCCCTGCTATGAAACTCCACATAACAACTTTAAATTTAAAGGACACCAGAAATGTTTAACATTCTGATCTCCCTAAAAGGAAACTTTTGGAGGCTATATAAATTAAAATTTGTAGCATAAGCACATTTCTTTCAGCCTCATTTCTTTTTTCTTTATAGACTAGAATAACATGAGTTTGAGTCAGTCATGTGCTTATTCACACATACAGTCATCCTTTGATTATTCAAACTAAGGGGGAAAGCAAAGATGTGGGTAATGCAGGATGACAGGTAATCCAAAAGTCATTTATTTTTGGCTTTGGAATATCTTTCATACAACTTAGCATCTTCCCCTACAGTCCTGGGGCTCTCCTCCATTTTGTCATAGTATGGTTGTGACCCTGAGGTCTGAAAGCTATGTAATCAGAGCACAAGCTTCGGAATACTCTTCCAGTGATTAATTGTATGTCTTTTGTCTAAGGACCAGCCTAACCAAGTTTAGGTAAGAAATGCTAAACGCCAAGATGGCTGCAGTAGAGTGATAGATTCTTTAGCCATAGTAACTCTCAAAGACTACTTGTTAAATTATAGGTTGTAATCCTTCACATTGGTGAATGAATTGCTCATACAAATGAGCTTGTAAAGCCTTGAAATATTATTGATGCATAAGATTTGACTGCAGGTATAATTGATATTCTGAAAATTAACTTCAAAAAAATTGAACTACTCTGTGAAAACCCTAGAAAGAGCTAGGACCCACTTTTTGTTCAAACTCTTTGCATCAGCCCATTCTGGTTTGCTTCTCTCAGAAGAGATGAGGTAGTTAAGTAGTTGGAAAATACTGAAAACATAAGCAGCAGGACTTGAGAAGTCAAAAAAATGAAGAGTAGGGTAGTGACAAGCCAATGAAGTAGAGCCCCAGAAAATGAGCTCCTTGAGGGCAGAAATTATTTGATTTTTGTCTTTGCTTGGCACAGTATTTTACACAGAGCAACTGCTTAATGAATTCTTGTTGAGTTAAGTAGTATTGACCATAGGCATCTGTAAAGGTTGTATTACAGAAACAGTTCAATTCAATATTCCGGTATTCCAGGGGCCTTTCACATTTCCTTCCCATGCAGATCATATTCCCTTAATACACACCTCAAAATCTTTTCTCATGGTCTCAGAGGACCTGGGGTCCAATCCTACTTCTGACATTAATTACTTATGTGACCTTGAACCAGTGACTTAACCTCCTTGGACATCAGTTTTCTCATCTGGATGTTGAAGTAGATGTTGAAGTAGATGGTCTCTGAAATCTCTTCTAACTTTAATCTATGATCCTATAATCCTATGTTCCCTATTTCCCCTCTGATAAACAACTCACTCTGAGATCCTTTAGGCCACTTTCAGCTGGAGGAATTTATGTTCTTGGCTATTTAACAGCATATAATAAGACATACTAATGAGGAAAGTGGGCCTTGATGATTAATATATATTTTTGGTAGAACTTTATGAGGGTTTTTGCCTGATAACCTAATTCTAGTGGGACAGCTGTACTGATACAGTAATGCCTGGGACGGGGAGGCAGATTAGCATAGACTATTTGACAGCCCATCACTGCTTAATTAAGCAGCACAAGCCCTGAGGGCCGATAGGGAATAAACAGATAACAATAACAGCAAAGTATCAAAATAGGGTGGTTGCTAAATGACAGCAGAGTTTTCAGGAGGATTCAGTGCCAAAGTGTGGGGAGACTGTTTACAGGTAATTGAGGGCTGACTGTAAGTTTCTCTGGTCTTGCAGGGTCTGACCATCAAACCCCTGGTCCAATGGCTGAAGGTGAAGAAGAGTGAGCACCGAGAACCCAAGCTCAATGAAAAGCTTCATGGCAGAGTAAGAACTCGCAAGGGCAGCGAGACAGGAAAGAGGCCTTAGCCTCAGTTAGGGCAATCAGACCGATGAGTACCACGGTGCCCACCTTCACCCAGCGATTGCCCTTTGTGAGCCTGGCTTCCCTTTCATGTCGGCTGCATGCTCTCCAGGCCTTGAGACACAGCCAAGCAAGCATTAGTTTCCAGACCCGTTGAGTTAATTCCTGAAAATGAGTAACCCCTCTTAATTTTCCAGGAGGGACAAAAGAGAAGGAAGGAAGTGTTGAAATGGGAACATGAGCAAGGAGGGACTAGCGTGAGAAAAGAGAACACAGAAAGAAACACTTTCTGAGGGATATTAATGGAATTATCTTCATTTTTAAAGGCTTTCGATCATATTCTCTCTGCCATTGAAGATATATCTGGACAAATAGGACATAATTACTTAAGAGACAAGTAAGTGGTCTTAATTCTTCTTAATGAAGTTGAGTATTTAAGAAAACATAATGTGTCTATCTGTCTCAGCTTCTATTTGTTCTATTAATTTTACTGTTTTAATAACTATTTATTTTTACATGCTTGTTTATATCCTTAAATGTGCCTGTCTTCATAAAAATCTAATCTTATGAAGGCCTTTTCAAATTAAGGAGGCCCAAAGTCTTATTGGAAAACAATAGGTTTAAGGGGCAGCTAGGTGGCATAGTGAATAGAGCTCTGGCCTTGGAGTCAGGAGGACCTGAGTTCAAATCCAGCCTCAGACACTTAACACTTACTAGCTGTGTGACCTTGGGCAAGTCACTTAACCCCCGATTGCCTTACCAAAAAAAACCAAAAAAAACAAAAAAACCCAATAGGTTTAAGAGTGATGTGCTATTTGTTGACAGCCAACAATATTTGTTGAGCACTCACTGCATACAATAAAAACAGGCTTTTGTTACAGGAGTAATTTGTATTAGAGAATATAAAAGAAATATAGGATGTGGTTTGAGATGTATGGAATAATTTAAGAATGCTTGTTGAGTAGCATGAAGATATTTTCATAATATAGCATAATTAGGCATATAAGCATAAAGATAATTTCAAATAGCATAACGGTATGGAGATTCAGAGAACCTCTTTGAGTCTTAGAACCTTCAAGTTAGAAGGGACCTTAGAGTTACCATTATGGAGGCAGCATGGTGGACAGGGAGCTGCACTTGGGCCTGGGAGCCTTGGACCCTGATGAACTGTGGGCCCAAGGGGTAAATTCCCTTTACCCATCAGAGCCTGAGATTTCTTCCCTGTAAAATAGGGATGGTAAGACATTCCTCAAATTGTGAGTATTAAATGTGATATTATGTGAAGTGCTTTCAAACGTAAAAGGGCTGTATAAATAGCTTCTGTATAGTCCAGTCCCCTCATTTTGCAGGTAAAGAAACTGAGGCCTGAAGATACTGAAGGTATTGTACCCACTCCTGCCGTCCAACATTTTTGTTTACATCTTTAGGTGGTCCAATTTCGATAGAAAAGTCCTAAGTAAATTTCTGATGAGAAGATCAGCCCAAAAGTCCAGAGACCGGATTCTGAATGTTTTCCACGAGCTCAACCTGAAGGATGCTATTAGCTATGTGGCTGAGGTACTTTCAAAAAGTATTTTGGACTATTGACCATAACCCTTAAACTTTGTCCTTAGCCACAGAGCAGTTTAAAAATTCTGTGTGAATGTTGTCTGATTATGTTCCCTGTTTCCGGTTTTACTGAGTGGCATTCTTCAGAATCATCAAGGTTTAGTGCTGCCTTTCCCACACTGTCTGACTGACAAGCTGCGGGTTCTGAGTGTCTCACTCTATCTCCATTCCTAAGGCTGCCTCTCATTGCCTTGACAGCCATCCTTCAAAGGATGCCACCAGAGGAAGTCATGATTTTTAGTCTCTTCCTATGTCTTTCTCCAAAAATGATGCCTTTCCAAGATGCCTCTTAGTACAAAGATACCGTTAAGATCTTAGGATTATTATACTCGTCAGACCCATGGTCCATCTAATTTGATTCTCTGTGGTACTGAAGGATATGTCATAGGAAAAAATTTCAACATCCTTGAAGTCAACTTCAAAGGCTAGTCGTGTACCTAGAATGGAAAGGTAGAAAGTAGTTTAGAGATCAACTAACCCGACTCATTTTACATATAAAGAAACCGAGGCCCAAAATTTGTGTGTATTTGTATGTATATATATAATATCATATGTTATTGTGATAATATATTAATATAATTAATACAACATTCAACGTTATCTTAAAATAGATGCACACATATATGTATATATACACACATACTACATTATATATTATATTATTATATCAACATATAACATAATACAGATATAGTCTTATATAATTATGTATTTATCTTGCTACATTATTTATTATATACTGTTATATTGCAGCTATAATTATATTGAATATTCTTGTATATTATACTATCCAATATTATATTAATATATTATATATATTGTTACAATAATATACTATTATATATGTGTGTGTGTGTGTATTCAACCACACATACACACACACACAAACACACACACACAAACGCATCCCTCCCTTGATACATGGTAAGCTCCTTGAGGTCAGAGACTGGTTCATTTTTGTCTTTTTATAACCAACACATATTTTGGGAATAGGTAATAAGCCAGTTCAGCTGGGTTGTAGAGTGCATGCAATTGCCTTCACAATCTGCCTCCACCCTATTTTTCTAGGCTTATTATATGCTATTCTTCTTCACAGTACCTGTCCTATAGTAGGCTCTTCATAAATGCTTATTCGTTGGTTGGTTGATTGATTGACTAATAGAAGTCAATCCAAAATGCAAACAAAGGCAATGTAAGATAATTTCAGGAATTGGAGCACCAGCCAGAAAAGCTTCACATAGGAGGTGGCACTCCAACTAAGCTTGTAGGGAAGCTAGGACTACTCGAAGGTAGAAATAAGGCCTGAATTCTAGATATGAAGACAGCCAAGGCATGGAGACAGGAAATGGAATGTCACACATGAAACAGGTCAGTTAGCTGGGTTGTAGAGTACATGAAGAAGAGTAACATAGAATAAGCCTAGAAAGGTCGGTTGGAATAAAATTGCCCAGGGATTTACTACCAAATAGAGGAGTTTCTATTTTATCCTAGCAGTAGTAAGGAGCCATGGGAGCTTTTTGAGCAGAGGAGTGGCATCAATCAATCAACAAATATTCAACAAGCCCCTACTATGTTCCAGGCACCGGACTAGGGGCTAGAGATACAAAGACAAAAGTGAAACAGCCTTAGCCATCGAGGAATTGGTGTTCTCTTTAGATGGTTAGATCTGTGCGTTATGGAAATATCAGTTTGACCATTGAATGGAAAATGGATTAGCAAAGGGAAAGCACTGCAGGGGGACCTACGAGGAGGCTTTTGCAGTAGGAGGAGGAGAGACTTCAAGATAATATATGGGAAATCCCACTGGAGAGCCTTGCCCAGGGTTTTGCCTGCTACCTTTTTCAAAACCTTTGTACATATCCCACCTATGATAATAATTAATAATAATAATAATAATAATAATGGCTAACATTTATATAGTACCTACTATGTGCCAGGCACTGTGCTTTACAGTTATTTTATTTGATCCTCACAACCACCATGAGAGGTACGTACTGTTATTATCCCCATTTTACAGTTGAAGAAACAAAGGCAAAAAGAAGTTAAGTGACATCCCCAGTGTCTGAGGCTGGATTTGAACCCAGGTCTTCCTGACTCCAGCCCCTAGGCCCTGCCCACAGTGCCCGACAAGATTGTGATATTGTTCTGCTTCTCTCTCAGCCGCACTGCAACCTCATAAACCCTGCTCTGGGCAGCAGCATCCCTAGGCGCCTTCTGAAATCTCATTCAGTCCTACCCCTGCCTGACCACAAGTGTCTTGTCTCCCAGTTTCGTTATTCTTCACACACCGTTGGCCCTTTGTACTCGCACTGGCACCCATCATCAGTTACCCATGTTGCCGAGACTCCCATCCTCTTCTGACCTCGTCAGACTCAATTCCAATCCCTAATACCAGGATCAATTCTTTTCATAAGGTGACAGTTTTTTAGAGAAAAAGAGACGTTGGCTGTTTGATTGATAGCCGTGGGAATTGAGACCCAGGAAGATGAAGCCACTTGCCCTAGAACCCATGTCTTCTGCATCCTAGCCCCAAGCTCTCTCCTTCTTGTCACTGTGGTCAACAGGGTCTCATTACTTTTTGCACAAGTGCAGTGGTATGACCAGGAAAGGGCTAAGATGGTACAGTCAAGGACAAAGCCATTGCTGACCTCGTAGCACAGGCATCACTGCCCAGGCCTATTGTGTATGCTATGTCTGAGACACATACCTTTCATCATAGCCCAGTTCATAAAATTTTCCCCAGGACAGCGTCAGTACAGGGAACAAAAACAGTCATGTAGGGATAGCCATTCAGTTAACCAGATTCCCCAGCACTACATTTCTTAGTCACAAAGAAGTCTCACATACTTCTCTCTCTTTCTTTCTTCCCAAAACAAATAGCTCAGTCAGCACAGTTTAATGCGTCAATCTAACGCCAACCCAGCAGCTGAGTGCTCCCATTTATTTTTTTTTTTCTCTCTCCTGCTGCCTACAGGCTGTTTTAGAGTAGGAGGAGATGCTGATGTAGTTGTTAGAATGGTAGACTTTCCTGCTCCACAGATCAGTCTGCCTCTGTGATTGTAGTGGTAGATGGTCCCTACACCACCCAAATTCCCTCATCTCTGTGACTTTCTGCCAAGTTGCCCATCATGCTTAATTCCGGTCCTGGATCATTCACTGCCCACCTTCTTTACTTCTACACCTGCTTTGCTGGAGGAAATTCAAAACTGAAAATTTGTCCATTGTAAATCGTAGTCACAGTATGTGCCAGGCACTGTGCTAAGTGTGGGCTGACATTTCATAGTTACCCTCACCTCTCATTTACTCCAAGGATCACTAAGTATCTCAGTTATGTCAAATTTTCTCCCTTTCCCAAAGTTTTTAATATGATTTCCCTCAACCCTCATTTTTACTGCATGACTTTGCCTCCTACATTTCTGAAAAAAATCAGTCATCTGATATAAAGTCCCACAGCATCCCAAACTTCGTTTTAACATGTCTCTACCTCTGTCTTCTCTTTGACCCTTCCTCATTTCTAAAACCAATCCTTCCACCTGTGCTTCTGATGCCATCCCACCTCCTAAGAGACCTTGCTTATAACCCTTCCCCCTAGTAGCTGTAAAATCAGAGTTCAGTTCTGGGCCCTCTTCTCTTCCATTTTTGCTCTCTCAGTGATCTCATCAGCTTCAGTTACCATCTCTATGCAGAACACTTCCAAATGAACATCTTTAGCCCTCTTTCTTTCTAGAGCTCCAGACCTAGATATCCCTATCTGGATTTTCCACAAGGCATCTCAAATTCATCGTGTCCAAAATTGAACTCCCTATCCTCCACCCTGCCATGCCACCACCAGTCAGCCCCTCTGATTGACCATCCTTTCCACTGAGGGCACTACCATCCTACCATTCATTCACAGTCACAGACTAAGAGCATTCTCTCTCTCACTCCACATAGCGAAGTAATTTGCTGAGTTTTTTTGGTTGTCACCACGACTTTCCTTACCTCTCTCATCTCTTCACTCGCACAGCCACCACCTAAGTGGCTATTTATTGCCTCCAGGAGAAAATACAAATTCCCCTGGTTAGCATTTGAAGTCTTTCAGCATTTAGCTCCATTCTACTTTGCAAACTGGTTTTGAGTCACTTTCCTCACGTGTTCATCTGTCTCCTGTCTCTGTGCCTAGCACACTGTCTGTTCTCCGCCCCCCACCATGCTCAAAGTATTCTCTCTCCTCATCTCCATTTTTAAAAAAATCTCTAGCTCCATTCGGGGTTCAGTTTAACCCATAATTACTTTGTGGGTGTTTTTTGTTTTTATCTGAGTACTTATTGTTGTCTTCCCACAAAATGGAAGTTTCCAGGGTGAAAACAGTTTTCCTTTTTATCTTTGTATTTCTAGCACCTAGGCCAGTGCCTGGTATACAGTAAGAGTTTAATAAATGCTTATTGAATCGAATCTTCCATCTCTCATTTTCATTAACTTAGAGAAACACAAAATCACTCACTGTCAGAATTGGAAGGACTCAGCTGCTAGTTAGTCTGATCCTTACTTGAACAAGACTCCTCTCATCAACATATCTGACTTAAAGCCTTTTCCTGAAGCTTTCTAATGAGGAGCAACTCACATTGTCTTGAAGATGACTCATTCCATTTTAGGATAACTCTCATTCTTAGGATATTTTCTTACATTGAGCCAACATTTGCCTCGTTTTAATTCCCCACCACCCCATTGTTTCTAACTCTGCCCTCTAGAGCCAACCAGGAAAAGTATAATTCCCCCTTCCACCTAGCAGCCCTTCATATATATGAAGTCAGCTATAAATCCCCACCCCAAATCTCCTTCAGGCCAAATGTTCCCAATCTTTCAATCCTCATCTGGCATGATATCTTTAATCTTCATCAGGCCTTTCACTATCTTTGTTGACTTCAATTTGGATATTTTCCAGTTATCAATTTCCTTCCTAAAATGTG